GCCGTTGCCAGCTGAAACTCTACAGTGCAAAGAGGAAGCCATTTCTAAGCAAGCTCCACAAGCTCAGACGTTTGCACTGGGCCAGGGGTCATTTAAAATGGAGTGTGGCAAAATGGAAGACTGTTCTGTGGTCAGATGAGTCACGATTTGAAGTTCTTTATGGAACACTGGGACGCCATGTCATCCGGACCAGAGAGGACAAGGATAGCCCAAGTTGTTATCAACGCTCCGTTCAGAAGCCTGCATCACTGATGGTATGGGGTTGCATGAGCGCTTGTGGCATGGGCAGCTTGCATGTCTGGAAAGGCACCATTAATGCAGAGAACTATGTTCAGGTTCTAGAACAACATATGCTCCCATCTAGACGTCATCTCTTTCAGGGAAGACCCTGCATTTTTCAACACGATAATGCCAGACCACATTCTGCAGCAATCACAACATCATGGCTACGTAGGAGAAGGATCCGGGTACTGAAATGGCCAGCCTGCAGTCCAGATCTTTCACCTATAGAGAACATTTGGCGCATCATAAAGAGGAAGGTGCGACAAAGAAGGCCCAGGACGATTGAACAGTTAGAGGCCTGTATTAGACATGAATGGGAGAACATTCCTATTTCTAAACTTGAGAAACTGGTCTCCTCTGTCCCCAGACGTCTGTTGCGTGTTGTAAGAAGAAGGGGGGATGCCACACAGTGGTAAAAATGGACTTGTCCCAACTTTTTTGGGATTTGTTGACGCCATGAAATTTGGAAACAACAGATTTTTCCCTTAAAATGATACATTCTCTCAGTTTAAACTTTTGATCTGTGATTTGTGTTCTATTCTGAATAAAATATTAGATGTTGGCACCTCCACATCATTGCATTAAGTTTTTATTCACAATTTGTTTAGTGTCTCAACTTTTTTGGAATCCGGTTTGTAGATTGAAACACCTGACAAGACCATATTTTACCAAAACTTCCACTGTCTACAGAATGCACATGGGCCTCTTGTTAAAAAAAGCAATATCAGTGTTCAGCCACTTCAAATGTGACATAATTTTCTGGAATTTTACTGGACCATTAAGGGATTTCACATTCCAGCTTGCACACTTAACTGGACAGCCTCTAGATTGTTTAACATCCTTAGCGCTGGTCATAGTTGAACAATAAGATATTATTTACACACAAATTATCACAAGCAAATTGCTGTAGTAGTCTTTCATTTTCTTACTTCATCTTCTGTCAGCAAGACAGAGACTGAGACTGGTTTTTATTTTCAGATCATAATTATTTTTACAAGACAACTACGTTTGCAGCCATTACCTTTTACCTCCATATAAACTATCACACACTATCAGTATGTTATGTCATTCAGTACAAAGAGAACCAAGGCAGAGTTCATTTAGTTAATAAGTATCTTTAAGGTGCACCTACTTAAAATGCTGCAGATGAATTTTCTGCAGACCAGTAGCCACCATGGAGCTGCGTCTCCCCGTCTGCGTTCTGCTGGTACTTTGTGTAACAGGGACTGTAAATGGAGGAAAGATCTTAGTGTGGTACACTGATGCCAGCCACTGGATTAACATGAAGCCAGTGCTGGAGACGCTTGTGGACAGAGGACACCAGGTGACCGTCCTGGTCCCGAGTTCATCGATGTTCATGAACAGCAGTGAACCGTCTCGGTTTCAGTATGAACCTTTCAACGTCTCTCTTTCTGTGGAGACTACAAAAAAGTTTATTGAAGATTTCATTCACTTTTTTATTTATGAGATGGAGAACTTGAACCATGTTCAGGTGTACATCAGGTATATAGATTTAATAAAAACAAACCTGGAAAATACTCGTGAAGTTTTGGAAGGTGTGGTGAAATCAGAAACCATCATGAAGAAGCTGAAAGAAGGAAACTATGATTTGCTCCTGGCTGATCCCGTATTTACTGGCAGTGAATTAACTGCAGACATTTTGGGGATTCCTCTGGTCTTTTCTTTGCGTTTTACCATTGCTCATAGCTGGGAAAGACTCTGTGGTCAGCTACCTGCTCCACCTTCCTATGTCCCAGCTGCTATGAGTAAACTGACAGACAAGATGAACTTCTCAGAGAGAGTGTACAACTTCCTCTTCTACGCTCTTCAGGATTTCATAATAGAACATTTTATGTGGAAAGAGGTGGATAAATATTACTCAGAAGTCAAAGGTAAGCAACAGAAAATTAACTCCTGTGTCAAACACTATAATTGTCATTAGGTCCAATAATGTTTTCAGAATAATTGAAGAATCTCCCGGTGTGTCTATTTAAGACTTTATTTATTCATGTTCACTTGTTCCAGGAACCCCCACCACGACCTGTGAGTTGATGGGTAAGGCAGACATCTGGCTGATGAGAACCTACTGGGATTTTGACTTTCCACGTCCATTTCTTCCCAATTTTAAATTTGTTGGTGGAATTCATGGCAGACCTGCTAAACCTTTACCAAAGGTAGGGTTATATTTCCAAGGACATCCTTGTAAAATAAATTAATAATCTCAATGGATTTCTTCCTGGTAAAATAAAGGTTTAATAATTATACCATACCATACCATTTTATTTATAGAGCAATTAAAACAGCTACAAGGCCAACCAAAGTGCTGTACAGACAGAACAATAGACAACATACGAAGCAAAATACAAAATGAGGTAAATCAAAAATATAGACATAAAATCGATGCAGATAATAAATATGACGACAAACCAGTGTGGAGCGTACAGGTTCAAGACACAGATCATCTGGTGTTGGAAGGTACTGAATAGTAGTCAGTTTTTAAACGGGATTTGAAAACCGAGAGGGAGGGGGCCAGTCTGACAAGCAGAGGTAACTCGTTCCAAAGTCTTGGTCCTGCTACAGAGAAGGCCCTGTCACCTCTGCGCTTAAGACGAGTTCCTGGAACTGTGAGGAGCAACTGGTCCGCTGACCTCAGGGAACGTGGTGGGACATACGGTTGTAGCAGATCAGAGAGATGGGGGGGGGGGGGGGGGACTGTTCAGCGATTTGTAGACATACAGGACATTTGTAGACATACAGGAGTATTTAGTAGGATAATTATATTCACTATTATACAATAAATAAAAGGTCAACATGTCGGAAAACGTTTTTCCGATGTAACACAAAGAATAAAAGCGTTGTGATCAACGTGTTGTGTAAAGAAAGTGTCTGTCTGGCTCAGTGACTTGGAAGAATCTTTTTTTGTTTGTTTGTTTTTTGCAGGATATGGAGAAATTTGTCCAAAGCTCTGGAGATGAAGGCATCGTAATCTTCTCTTTGGGATCCATGGTCAAAAACCTGACCACAGAAAAAGCGAACATAATCGCCTCAGCCCTTGCCCAGATTCCACAAAAGGTCAGGAAAAATATAAATGTTAGCTCACACTGAATAAAATACATCCAGCTGGTTACAATCATGTGAACAGCTAGTTTTGGCTGTCACCAGCAAACTGGTTGATCCACTATGAGAAGGGGCTATTTATAAGACTGAGTTTAGTGTAGCTCCTCAGACTGACAAAGTGTTTTGGACAAAAGACGAAACGTTACAACAATTTTTTTTTTGAGGGGACTTTTTTAATCTGTCCAGAGGACCTGATCTACTTATTTTTCTACCTGGATTATTGAGCATGCATCAGGTTACAAAAATATTCCACATCAGAACAGTGCACATATTTAATCAACCTTAAATTGTAGATTATTCTTAATCTTCAGATGTGATTTCAAATTACTTGAATGAATGTGTACACAATTTTGTTCCACCACATGCATCACATGTGAAGCGAAAATAAATCTTCAGTATGGCATTTGAATTTACAAACTAATGATTTTCTATTTATGATTGTTAATAAAAGTGACAAAACTTCACTGCCTTTCTACCATTTGTAGGTGTTGTGGCGATACAGCGGGAAGAAACCGGACACGTTAGGTTCCAACACAAAACTTTACAACTGGATTCCACAGAATGACCTCCTGGGTGAGTAAATATAAGTATCCATGATTTCAGCATGAATGGAAGGACAGTTTACTTTTTCTGTCTTTATTCAGTTTTTGAAAACTGGCAACCACAAGTAAACCTGCAGTCTGTGAGACAAGTGTTTGAGAGGGAAACTCTGTTAAATTAAGATGTTTAATGTAAGATGGAGCTAGGTTGTTCAGGGCTTTGTATGTCAGAAGGAAGATTTTAATTCTATTTTGAATCTGACAGGGAGCCAATGAAGAGAAGCTAAAACTGGAGAAACATCTATCCTTCTAAATCATATCAAAACTTTATTAGCAGCATTTTGGATCAACTGAAGATTTCTTTAAGTGTTTGTGGACACCTGGATAATAAAAAGAATGACAATAGTCCAGTCTATTAATGATAAAGGCATGGTGCAGTTTTTCTGCATCAGTTTGGAACAAGATGTTTCTAATTTCAGTGATATTGCTCAGGTGGAAGTAAGCAGTCCTGGTAACATTTTAAATGAAGGAGTCAAATGACATATCCTAATTAAAAATAAAGCCAAGGTTATTGATATTAGAACTGAAGGCTAGATTAAAGACATCCAGAGAAAGCAAAAGGATGCAAAATTTGTTCATTAGAAGGTATTTCAAAAAACCACATCCACTGTCTTGTCTGAGTTTAAAATCAGAAAATTAAGAGTCATCCAGGTTTTTATGTAAGACAAGCTATTAATCTCACTAAATGGTTAGATTCACCAGGTTTTATGGATATTTATAACTGTGTATCATAAGCAAAACAATTAAAATGTATCCTGTGCTGCCCAATAACTTTACCTAACGGAAGCATACAGGTATGTAAAGAGTATTGGTCCAAGCACTGTACCCTGAGGAACTCCAGAATTAACTATGATGTTTTAAGTAGACTTATTAAAGATATGAACAAATTGGAATATATTGTATAATTATAATTTAACCCATTTTAGAGCTCTTCCTGTAATCCCAAAATCATGTTCAAACAGATGTAATAAAAAAATGTACAGCACGGAGGTCAAAAAGAACAAGTATAGATACAAATTCACTGTCAGAGGCCTTGAGAATATCCTAGTTACTATTACCAGTGCTGTGTTCTGTGCTATGAGGTCCATGCACATGTACACGGACCTTATGATGAACTCTAAACTCTGACTGAAACTCCTCAAACAGATTATTTCAGTCCAAAAGTTCACACTGTTGATTTGCAAATAATTTCTCATGATTTTTTTTTTAACCAATAGAAGATTACATGTCATACATGTCTATAGTTAGCCATAGCTACATGAAACAAGAAAAGGTTTCTTAAGTTAACATTTCTTTTCACCAAAGCTACAGCTCTGAGGTACATAACCATTCAATAAAGACATATTAGGTTGATCCAAAATAGGAGAAAATGACAAATTACTACTAAAAAAGTTAAACCTGGTCCTCTGGACAATTGTTTCTTAAATGTCCAGAGGACCAGATTGACGTTTTTTTAGATTTTTCTACCTGGATTATTGAGCATTCACCAGGAGACAAATCATTACATTAGAGAACACCTGAAAATAAACAGGCACTAAACGATAACCACAAAGAATGTCCACATTAGAGAAGATAACATTCCTAGTCAGTTGGGCTGGGAGGTCTTGGATATGCAGGATAGTGCAGCTGCTCCCTATAGTTCAGTATTGTGGCATCAATAAAATGATGGTAATTGCCATAGAATTGTAACTTAAAACAATGTGGACAGACAAGGCCCATTTGCTAATAAAGTTACAAACATCAAAACATTTCACTTTGTCAAATTCACATCTAGCAATGTTAAACCTGGCAGGACAATAAAATGAGTCCATGCATTTACAGGTGGGTCTGTTATGATGATGTAGTGTCCTATACCATGTTTAATCCTGGTAGGTGACAAATTGGGCTGAGCAAGGACAGGGAACACGGCAAGTAGCTGATGAAAATCATTTGTAGTAAAGAGGATAGTCATCGCTGCTAATGGCGAACGTAAGAAAGCAGTAAGTGACAGCATTATTCAAATGTCCGTTCTTGATATCCACCTGCAGCCAAATGCAAAGGGATGAATAGCATCAATTTGCTTTAAAGTAAAGGATTCATGGCAAAAATACAAACTGCAACTGTGCCACCATGCCAATGTTGCAGTGTTTTATTGGATGATAGTCATGGTATTCCACAGGGGAAATAGTGCTTTTATTAGAGCAAACAAAGTTGAACTTGATGGCTCTTAAAATCACAAAAGCTTGCCATTTCTTAAAATGTTGGTTGTAAACGATGAACAAGAATCAACAATATTTAAAGGCAATAAGCAAAAATAGAGATACTATTTTTATTTGGCACATGGCTGGGTGTGTCAACTGATTCCAATCCAGAACAAGGCTGAACAACCTGAGCTCTTCTTTCTTTTGGTCCCAGATACAGGACACTTGCCTTTCTTCAGGGGAAAACTCATAGATTATTAAAGGACAATTGATTAAATGTAAAAAAAATAAAATGGAAAAAAAGTATCTGAAAATGAAACATTTTCCTGACCAAAACACATCTTTATGCAAAACTGTTTTTTCTCCAACACAAAAAAACATTTTCATAAACTAAAGAAGTTCTTGTAGTTTCATTACTGGTATTTGTGAATACATTAAGCAACTCGTGTATAGTTTTAAGATAGATAGTTTTTTTTCTAACTTGCTCAGCTTTATCATTTGTAAAACTAATTGTGAATATTTAATATATGTTCTCACATCAGGTCACCCTAAAGCCAGAGCTTTTATCACTCATGGTGGTGCAAATGGGGTTTATGAGGCCATCTACCACGGTGTTCCCATGGTGGGAATCCCAATGTTTGCTGATCAGCCAGACAACATGATGCACATGAAGGTCAAAGGAGCTGCAGCTAATGTTGC